TTGGTTGCCCAGTCTGAGATGCCCTAATATCCTGCCCTGGAATCATGGCAGAGACAGCTGTGCCCTTCAGGGGAAATCTTTCCCCCATCCACAGGGGTTCGCCTGACCCCCAGCTCTGACCACAATCACCAGGGTACTCAGCATGTTCCCCCAAGTCGGGCTTGTTCCATCTTAAATACCATACCACTTACGAGGTGCAAGCCCTGTGGATTCTCAGCCACCCCCAGCCCCGTGCACCTGGGCTCACGCCCCCACCCCAGCCTTCCCTTTCTAGCCTCCTATAGCCTCCCTGGGGTGCAGGTGCAGGACCCTTCCCCCACAGGATCTCTGTGTTTCTCCTTCTCAATCCCAGGAGAAGATTATCTTCATGGCTGTTGGGGTGGAGGACATTTGGCCGTGCTCCTCTCACACTTTTGTTTATGTCCCCCAAGGACACAGACTCGTGGAGATCCAAACCAGGCAGGTGTCTTGTTTTCTACTTCCCTGACCTGGGTCATGTCCTGCCCCTTCTCGCAGGCAGTGAACTCAGAGGCCTGGTGGCTTGAATTGGGGTGGGAGGAGGGAAGGGGAGAAAGCAAAAGAGTGAACTACAAGGAGGAAAAAGAAAACTTCAACTAATATCTCAGAAATGCTCTCCCAGTCATCCCATTGCTCACAGCCCCTGGGCTAATCCCAATTTTTTTTTTTTTTTTTTGTGGTACATGGGCCTCTCACTGTTGTGGCGTCTCCCGTTGCAGAGCACAGGCTCCGGACACGCAGGCCCAGCGGCCATGGCTCATGGGCCCAGCCACTCCGCGGCATGTGGGATCTTCCCGGACTGGGGCACGAACCCGTGTCCCCTGCATCAGCAGGCGGACTCTCAACCACTGCGCCACCAGGGAAGCCCCCCCCCCTTTTTTTTTAAGTCTATAAAACGTGTTAATGTCCAATGTTGTGTAAATTACCACAAACTCAGTGCCTTAAAACAATGCAAATTTATTCTCTTATCTGGAGGTCAGAAGTCTGAAATGGGTTTCACTGGGCTAAAATCAAGGTGTCAGCAGGGCTGTGTTCCCTTCTGGAGGTGCTAGGGGAGAATCCCTTCCAACTTCTAGAGGCTGCCTGCATTCTTTGGCTTGAGGCTCCTTCCTCCAGCTTCAAAGCCAGCAGGGTAGAATTTTCATCTGCCTGTGATTCTGACCTTGTGACCTTCCTGCCTCCCTCTTCCACTAATAAGGACCCTTGGATTACATTGGGCCCACCTGGACAATCCAGGCTCATCTTCCCATCTCATAATTCTTAATCACATCTACAAAGTCCCTTGTGCCACGTAAGGTCATATATTCATAGGTTCTGGGAATTAGGACATGAACATCTTTGGGGAGCATTATTCTTCCCACCACATGCTCCATATCTCATAGGGGCATTGGAAGGGTATGTTTGGGGGGGTGTGCATGTGGGCACACAGCTGGCACATCCTAATGTGAGTTTCTTTTCCTACCTGAGGGTTGATTCTGAGGAGGAGCCTGCTTCCTGATAGGGGTCCCCTTGGAAAACACAGGTAGACCAGAAGGTGGCCCTGATCCAACTCGAGCCATCCTATAGCAGGTGCTGTCAGTGCCCACCTCCCTCCTCAAGCCCTCTCCCCAACAGAGGTCAGGTCAACTGCAGTTTCAGTGGGCAATTCTTATCCTCAGTGACGGCGTCCTACCACAAGCACAGGTGTCTCTCTCCCCGAGGTCTTTCTTGGGCTCAGCCTTTGGTGGCACAGCCTGGCAATGCTGGGAAGTTGACCCCAGGAGTAACCCTTAACCAAGGAGGGATGGGAGTTGGTGGATATATCCGTGTTCTGTGGCTGCTATAACGAATTTCTGTAAACTGGGTGGCATAAAACAACAGAAATTTCTTCTCTCCCAGCTCTTAAGGCCAGAAGTCTGAAATCAAATCAAGGTGTTGGCAGGGACTGGCTGTCTCCAAAGGCTCTAGGGGAGAATCCTTTCTGACTTTGAATTCCTGGCAGTTCCTGGTATTCCTTGGCCTGTGGCTGCATCACTCTGATCTCTGCCTTCGACTTCACATGGCCTCCTTTTCTCCCTGTGCATCTAAGGATGCTTGTCGTTGGATTTAGGTCCCAACTGGGTGATCTGGGGTGCTGTCATCTCAAGATCCTTAATTATGGTGACAGACACCCTTTTTCCAATTAAGGTCACATTTGTAGGCTCTGGGGATCGGACATCTTTTTGAGGACTATCATTCAACCACTCCAGTGAATGAACACCTGGCTTCCTTGCCCCTTGGGGACACTTCCCAGGTGTGTGCTACCTAGCCTCGTAGAGAGTTCTGGGTGGGGTTGAGCTCCACCTGCCCAGTGACTGACCTGCTCATTAATGCGGACTTTACTGTCTTCACTCCCCTGTCTCGCTCCCCCACTCCTTCACTGTGTTTCCTTGGATCACCTCCCGAATTGACTGCCTGCACCCAAATCCTTGTCTCTGGGTCTGCTTTTGGGGAAACCCAAATTAAGACAGAGCCCCTCACTTCTAAGGCCCTTGCAAGCAGCTGGAAATCACATCTCCACTGGTTGCCGGGTATGGTTTGTTCAGGGCCATCTTGTGCTTCCTGTTCCTGATTGATCTTTCTCTCAGATACTCCCTGGTTGGTCCTCTGGTCTTCCTGGTCTGTCCTCTCCCCCATCACATTGCCTTTGTGATTCTACAGCCTCATCTCTATTGCCTGGAGACCCCCTGCCGACGTGCAGCCTCAGCATAGGGGAAGTAATTGCAAAGGAACCTGCTGCCTTAGATAGCAGAGAAAGAATCACAGTCAGCATGTGGCTTAATTGAATTAAAGAAAAAAAGTCCTGCCCCACCTCCACAGTAACTCATCGCCCTCGACAGGGTGCAGGTAGAGCTCATCGCAGAAGCAAGAGTCAAGGCTGCAGGCTTGGCTCTAGGAAGCTTCTGACTCTGACAGGGGAGGAGCTGAGTGCTTGGGCCCCTGCTCAGAGCTCAGAGGCATAAGCAGTCCCCCGACCTAGGGGTGAAGAAAGGAGGGTGTTTTGTGGATGAAGAGACAAGGGCTTTGGCTCTGAGATGTAGAGCATGACCCAGGAGGAAGGTCTGACCGAGACAATCCTGTGCTTGGGGCCAGCAGGTCAAGAGAGCTGGAAAAGACTGGGCAGAGGTGGTGAGGCGGTGCTTTCACTCCTCCCAGGGAGAAGTTGACCATCCGATAGGTCATAGTCAAGGACAGTAATTGGGTCTTGGGAGCTGTGGGCAAGGCTGCAATGGGCTGTGCCTGTCAACCACTCCTTCTTTCCCGAGGAGGCGCTTTCAGGCCAGCACGCCCTTCCTGCCAGCCGCTGCAACGGGCCTTAAGGGAGGTACGGGCTCCACTGGTCATGAGTCCAAGCTCTGTGCTCCAGCCTCGGGTCCTTGGATTTCTTGCTGTGTGGACTGGGCATGGGCCCAGCTCATCACAGGAGAACATGGCATTTCCTGTTCAACTCTATTTCAACTCTGTGTATTTCAACTCTATGAATTGACTCTCAATCACGTGGGTGCTGTGCATTCATACTTCCTAGGCTGTCTTCCAGTTGCTTCTGTAGGAAGCTCCCTCCTCTGTCACACCCTAGAAGGCTTGTGATTCACTGGGACACTTTCTCTCCATACGGTTTGAGAGGTAAAACGAACCAGATTAGACACAATCTTGACCCAAGGCTGAGGAAGTTAAGAGCTATGGACTCCATTCAGCGGGTGCCTGGGATTCATGGGATGTTATTGAGCTGAGGGAGCAGACAGTCAGAGTTGAGCTTTGATAAGTGAAAGAAGAGACACATGCGCACAGGACTTGATGGGGGGACAGGGTCTTAATATATCGGAAGCTGACTGTTTGATCTGAAGTCCTTTATGTGTACTGTCCCTCTGCCTAGAGCAGAGAGATATTTGTCCCAGTTTAAATATCACTCCTCATGAGTTCTTCCTTCTCATTTAAATGTGTTTTCCTCATTACACCCTCTTATAGCTTCCTCTGGTTTTCTTTCACAGCGTTTACTACAATTTTGAAAGTTTTGTCTTCCTAATCAGACCTTAAACTCTTTGGGGGCAGGATCCATGTTTTATTCATTTCTGTATGATGCCAAAGAAAAATTGCACCGGACAGAGTTAAATAGACAAGGAGGACTTTATTGAAGACTATTGCAACAGGAGAGAGATTGAACTCAACTACACTGAAACAAAATGCAGGAGCGTTTTTAAGCCCAGCGGTGGGGTAACAAAAATAGTGGAGGCCGCCGGTCTATGTGATTAGACCACCTGTGTCTGCTAATTGGTGCTTATCGAAGAGGAGCTCTTACCTTCCTGCACAGACCGGGAAACAGGGGCACTGTTTTCCTTGATGACTACATTTCTAAGAGGACATTTCTGGGTTGTTAAACTGGTAAGAGGCTGGGAGAAGATTTACATCTCAAGGGGAGCAGAGAAAGAATTTACAAGGACAAGTTTTCTAAAGTAACTGCTCTAAGGAAAGAGAGTTCAGTGACATAGAGTCGGGAAGACACTGTCTAAAGTTTGGTCAAGCTGAGAGGAATACCAAGGCCGCCTTGGGAAATGACCTCCCCCTCTATGCTACATTCCTGCCCTACAGGGTCAGGCAAAGAACACAGCAAATAATAGGTGCGTTTAATTAAAAAATTTTTTTTCTTTTGGCCGCGCCGTGTGGCTTGCAGGATCTTAGTTTTATTTATTTGTTTTTTTATTTTTATCTGTTTGGCCGCACCGTGAGGCCTGTAGGATCTTAGTTCCCCGACCAGGGATCGAACCTGGGCCCTGGCAGTGAAAGTCCCAAGTCCTAACCACTGGACCGCCAGGGAATTCTTGGTGTGTTTCATTTAAAATGAACATTTGCATGTCTATTTGGTTAATCTCCATTTCCCTCTCTAGATGGTAAGCTGCATGAGGGCAGGGATCATGCCTGTCTTGTTCGTTAGTATAAACCCAGCACCATCCACTTGCTTCTCATAGGTGCTCGCTAAGTGCTTGCAGAGAGAATGAATGAATGGATGGATGGAGGAAGAGACAGAAGCACCAAGGATAACTTCCAGCGTTTCAGCGTGGGAACAAGAAGGTAATGGTGCCAGTAGTGGCGGACGTGTGGAAGTGACAATGATGGGCTGAGGGCAGAGCAAACAGTCATGTGATCCCAGGCTGTCCTGCTGACTTTGCCTGGAGTAGGGGACTAACAGTGTTTGGTGTCTGAGATGGAGAAGGTTAAGACAGCACAGCTGAGCCTGGGGAGGCAGTAACATATGCAGATTACAGCTCTCGCCCTCAGTTTGATTCCTAACAAGCAACAACGATCCTGGGGGAAGAGACAATGTTTGCTCTTTTGAATTTATTTAGGAGATAGAGCTGTGTCAAGGTGAGGACCCCCCTTCCGGGCCACCCTGAGGGCAGATGGATACTGGTGCATGTAATTACTTCCAGGGTCAAAGCAGCGGCAATCAGTTCCTTTGTCAGCAGCATTCACTGAATAGTTTTATTGAGCGCCTGAGGGTGATTTGTTCCAGCTCTGGAGTAATTGTCCAATCAACCACAGGTGGGGGGGGAGGGTGGTTTGAAGGCAACTTCCAGAACATTTGAACATTTGTGATTAAGACTAGATGGCTTCATTAATGAACAAACATTCTTTGAGCACCTACTGTGTGTTGGGTCCTGTGTCAGGCCTGTGGGAGGTGGAGGAGAGTTCTTGCTGTAAAGAGCCTGTGGATGGTTAAAGGGGATAAATAGAACCATCCTTAATCTCATGCTCATCTCAAGTGTTCCAATGAGAGCCCCAAGGAGGAAAGGCTTCTTACTAATGGAAGAGGCTTTGGAGTAGGGTCTGGGAAGATGATGGGTAGGACTGGGGTGGAGATAAGGAGTTGGTACTGACAGACATGACAAAGATTCCTTCCTTGACCAAACTCTAGCCAGCCTCCTGTGAGCCCTCTTCTTGGTAGGACTCAACTTTGGCCTATAAAGACTTTAGCAAACACTAACATAGCGTCTAACAGCTCAAGCCTGCATCCCTAGTAATGACCCTCGCTGCCTCGAAGTTCCTACCTGAGAAAACTCAAGGCTGCCAAATGAATTAATTCACTGTTCCAGCCAACACCTGAAGGTAGGGCCCACTCTCAGTCTCTGTGGGAGGGTAGGAGCTTAACTTCGATAGGTACCAGTTAGCAAACCCAGATGGGTTTCACATGGACCTAACACCCCTTCCCACTTTTTGTAATTTCTCACTTTCCTGACTCTGTTCAAGCCCCTGCCATTCCTCCTCCCTCCTCCCTCATCCTTCCTTTAAAATGCCCAGTCACCTCTGCACACAACAGAATGGAGCTCAGCACTTTCCCCTACTGTCAGTGGTCACTAAATCTGTTTTCACTGCTTTAGCTAAATGAGGACTGGTTGTGTCCATCTTTGACAAAAGGTCTCCACGAAGAAATAGAAGCAGAAAACTGGTGCACACAGTTTTCAAAAAGAGACCCTTTTGTTTTCAATCCAGCAGGGGAAATAGTGAGAGAAAGAGCTATGGAGAAAAGGGGGAGCCAGATCATGCAGGGCCTTGGAGGCTCAAGCAAAGGGCTGGGGGGTTTGGCCTAAGTGCCACAAGAAGTGGAAGATTTTAAGTGCGGAAGTCAGAGGGTCAGAACAGTGCCCAGTACAAAGTAAGCATTCACTAAGTGTTCAGTGTTGCTGTTATCACTTGGAGTTCCAAAAAGTGACTTGTGTGGTGGTGGTACTGAGAGAGGGTTGTGGGGAGCCAATGTGGACATGGGACAGTAGTTCGGAGGCCACAGCGATGGCTGAGGCCAGAGGTGGCGGTGGTCTTGTCTGGCTCAGTGGTTATGCGGATGGAGAGAAGTGGTTGAATCGAGGAGAGATTTAGGAGATCAAACTGGCAGGACCTGGTGAATGGCTGGAAGTGGTGGGGGCAGGGGAGAGGGAAGGGGATAAACTGAGGATGGTGTCCAGGTTTCTGGCTTGTGAGAGTGCATGGGTGATGGAGCTCTTCCTAGGTGTATGTGGCCCAGATGGGGAGATCACTTTTTCAGGTTGAGTTAAAGAGCACATGGGATGGCAGCGTGCTGCTGTGTATGTGGGGCTGGAGCTCTGGAGGGCCAGCCTTCAGGGAACGGGGACTGTTTTCATTCCCACATTATACTTGACTTGATCCTGAGCTTCAGGCACAGCCCTGAGAACCTGGCATGTGTGTGACTTAGTTCAGGTTGTAGAGGAGGAAACATTCTCCTCTATCCTCTTAGGTTCTCCAGCTGGACCTAAGAATTAAACTGACATAAGATGGATTAATAGGAGAAAAGCAAACAAGTTTAATTCCATTTTTACACGTATACGGGACAAGAGAATGAAGACCTGAGGAAGTGACCAGAGCAGAAACTTTTATACCTTTTAGACAAAGAAATGATAAGTTTGGATTACCCTGGTGGTCCAGTGGTTAACGACTCTGCGCTTCCACCACAGGGGGGCACAGGTTCGATCCCTGGTTAGGGAACTAAGATCCCACATGCTGTGTGGTGAAGCTAAAAAAAAAAAAAAAAAAAAGACAAGTTTGTGAAGAAATGACAAGACAAAGGGCAGTAAATTTGGGGGAAATAACTAAGAGATATAGTGGAAGGGGGACTAGCGGAAGATAGGATTATTTTAGCAAGCTTGTTTGTACAGACCCCTTTCAGTGTCTGTTCCAAATCTATGGTGATAAAGATATTCTTGTCTTCCTGGTACAGAGAGGCGCCTTTCTCATGGGAAGTTTTATGGCCTGTTTTTAGGTAGAAAAGGGGAGGTCATAGAACCCTTCCCTCATCTGCAGTTTCTCCAGTGCCTTCAGCTCAAAGGAATCATCATGCCCAAGTGGCATATTTTAGGGTGACGTCCTGAACTCCTTCAGAGTTCTCCTGGACTCCAAAACAAGATTCAAGTGAAGGGACTTTATTTGGGAAGTGGAGGTCACACCGGTGGGGAAGTGAAACAGGGAAGGAAAGGAGACAGCAAAGTGTGTGTGGGGAAACACAGGCCTCAGAATGACCCCACACAAGAGGCGAGGGAGCTGGGGTATTTATACACTACAGTTCCTGGAGCAAGAGCCCTTACACACAGAGATACAGATACGACAGATGGAAGCTGCTCGGGCACAGTGAAATGTCCGAGGGGTATAACAGGACATGGACAGCATTGGCTACAAAGTCTAATGATGCAGTTTGTATAAACATGGAGACTTTTATTTCACACTAGATGAAACTGGTCCTCTGATTAGTTTTATGTCATATTGGCAAGTTAACTGCAACCTTCAAATAAAACCTAGTTGAGATTGGAGTAAATTATGTTTGTAGCATAGGGGGGTGGGATACAATTGCAACCAACCTGTGAACTAATAGTTCCACATCTCATCACTTGGGGTTCATTAGTTTGTTAGAAGTGAACATTTATTGAGCATGCACTATGTGCCAGGCTTCATGCTGAATAGTTTAGATATTGATATATTATCTCATTTAATCTTTATAATGAAAAACCCTGTGAGATAGGCATGGTTAGACCCATTTTATAGATGAGGAGGGACTCAGTGTTGTTGTCTTTTTTTTTTTTTTTTTTCTGGCTTCGCCGCACGGCACGCAGGATCTTAGTTCCCTGACCAGGGATAGAACCCGTGCTCCCTGCAGTGGAAGTGTGCAGTCTTAACAACTGGACCACCAGGGAAGTCCTGGGACTCAGTGGTTTGCTCTTGTTGCAACAGTGTGCAGTTGGCAGAACCAAGTTTCCACCCATTTTTTTTCCCTCAACCTTTTGCTGCCGCTTGGCAGTTAGAAATTACAAGAGCAATCTTAGCTCAAGCATTTGGCTTATATTTGCGTTCAGTATTTATTGAAGTTCACAGGCTCATCCAGTACTAACTGTCGGGGCTTAATAAGTTCTCAATAATAATGATTTCCCCCTGGATGAGTATAGATGCTTCTGTCAGCTGAGGCTGATTTCCACCTAATTTGCAGGGAATTTGTGTGGCACAATGATGAGCTAAATATTTATGCAGGGAGGATGTATGTACAAATCACATTTCCATAAGAAACACAAGGCAAATGAGAGTTTCCCACAAAAAAAAGTTTATTTCTGGGAAAAGATGCTTTAGAGGATCCAACATTAGCCAGGATTAACCAGCATTATCCAAGAGTTAGCCATATTTAGGCAATTTTAACATTTATGCCAGAGAAGTGTCTTTATTAAGAATTGCCAAGGATTACTAGAGGAGAAATCATGTTTGCTCCTCAGGGTTGAGGGAAAACACCTGGGAATATAGACTAGCTTTTCCTCCAAATGATCTAACCATCTTCGTGGATGACCCTGGGCAAGTTACTGCCTGTCTCTCTGAGCCTCAGTTTCTCAAGCTGTCATCTACTGGATAGGATTGGCTGTTCCTTAAGGCCCTGCCCACTCCGTTTTGTAATTCTGTGCGCTACAACTGTGCCTCTGTCTTTTTATCTCCACTGAGGACAGGCTGTTAACCTTGGACTACCAGCCTTCCTACTGAGGGAAAGGAGTCAACATTTCAGGTACTTATGGTGTGTCAGGCACCCGCTAGGTACTTTATGTCAATCAACTCATTGCTCCTCATAGCAGCTCAATGGCATAGGCTTTATTTCCTCTGTATAGCTAAAAACGAGTAAGTTGCAAGTTTAGGAGCAGCTGCTACTTTTGGGGCCATGCTCCAGTCCTCCCCACCCACATCTGAGTAAGTTCAACAGAAAGGTTTTTAAAGGGAAGCGTTTTTACTTGGGGCTGTCTACCAAACGGGTACTAAGGAGCAAAGAGCGTAGGACTTGGGGTTGTACAGACCTGAGTTCAAGTTCTGCCTCCTCCAGGCACTAGCTGAATGCCCGGGTGAGTCACATCACCTCTCCAAGTCCTGTTTCCTCATCGGCACACTTACCTTATGAGCTCTACAGAGCAGGGCTGCTGTGTGGGTTCCACGAGAAACCGTCCAGCTCTTTGAAACCAAGCTGAATGGGTTGGTCATTCTACGTTTCCCTCTAAGGGTCATCTCAGATGGCCCTGCTCGCTGCTGCTCCGATGTAAGAA